GAGGAGAACTCACTGGCGTCTTCTTCATGAAGATTATACCTGATGTGGATTGCAGGAAAAGAAAGACAAAAGAAGACGAATTGAAAGCCAGAATCAAGGGCAAAAATGAAATAAGTAGTTCAACTGTGTCTATACTTCTAATATGTTTAAACAATAAAAGAAAAGTGGTACAAAACCACAAAGCAGCTTTTTTTTGGATGTGATTGCACTCTAAATCCACCTTAAATTAGAAAATCCTTCTTAAAAAATACAACCAAAATAATTCATACAAATTGTCATAACATGTTATAGACAGACTTTCAAATCAAAGGTCACAATTGACATTTGTATTACAGAGGCAGACAAACCAGTCCACTCAATCTCTAGTAGGATAAAAGCTCCAAAAGCTAAATAAATAATCAAGCAAAAACCTTGGTTACACATGTCATTTCAACGTCTTTCCATTAAATTCTAAAGCAGTGTTTTTTTTAATAGAAAATAAAAGGCTTAATCTTCAATATAAAATATGAACCAAGCTTCAATATGACCGAGAAATCATTCAGCTTTTTTTTTTTTAAAGACAGCTCTCTCCAGAGCCAAATACCAGCACTCCAAGTACAATAAACTGATCACTAGGTTTACGATCAGATAATACAGCTTCATGAAATATTATATGATAGATAAAAAATTGGAAATAAAATGATAGAACAACTTAAAATGTATAGAAACTTCAGCAATTTGCAAGGTTTAATAGGAATCCTTTAGTGCAGTCTCTCTCTGTATGATCAGATAAAGATCAATTACTCCCACTGACCTGCAAGAAGTTTTTTTTACACAGCTCTCCTGTTAATTGCACACATTAATAAGTCGAACGCACCATCTAGTGGTCATCTTAAGAACCACATGCCCACTGCAGACACTGACGTTATTGCATTTGATTGTGCACTAGAGGGCGTTGTTGTATGTCTCCCCTTTTTTGGAATCAACTTTTAAATCAGTAAATTGCTCCATCACTCTATAACTATATCACTTACAGGGTAACATTAAACAAAGTGTATCCCGCTATTCGATGGAGTTTACAGTTTCATTGTTATTGGCACAGTTATCTCTGTTATCTGCAGAGCACTGTATTCTCAGTATATTACCCACAAGTATTGATATTTTAAATGGCTTTGATTTCTGCACCCCTGTGAGTGATAAACAGATTTTTACAGTTGTTCTAATAAGACTGTGTATTTTTATTGCTGTGTATATGAGAAATACAATACAGCAATGACGGCAGGCAGTGGTTGTGGGAAAATCTGAAGTAAGGCTCTGTAGCGACCCCCTCTTTTAAAAATGCAGGCATGCTTGTTCAGTCTCTATTGTACTGGTTCAATCGTTCACATGGGACGTTCTCAGAGTGTTTTTTCTGCTCTACCAACACTTGTTTTTTGTTTGTGCTATTGCAGAGACTTCTAAAGCTGCATTGTACTCCACTGAAATTGTATCAGAGGGGGCATTAAAAAATAAACTTTGGACATATCTGCTCTTGTCTTCTGTGAGGTCTATGGCCCACAAACTCTCTCTCAGTTTCAAGAAGGTCATGGGAGAACATCATGTGCTTACTCAGTAACTTACTCAATAACGAAATTAACTTTCAGATGTATATGGGAGAACATCATGTGCTTACTCAGTAACTTACTCAATAACGAAATCAACTTTCAGATGTATATTTATTTGTGTCACACAGCGCCACAGTTCACTAATTACATCAGTGTAGGATGGGTCGATCCTGGCTGAAAATGCAGTGTTTGGTAATATGCACCATACTGTCATTCACATGAAACCTATCATAGATTTAGACTACAAATTGAAGAACAAAGCACATTTTTACCTCAATTTCTGTGTATTATTAAACCTCCAGTAACGGAATTATCTCTTAAGTAAGGCACCACTCCAATGTCTTGTCTTTTTTTGGATCCTATAGTGTAAAAGTCAATATGTGGTTGACTTTTACGAGGTTCAATTATTCTGAGAGTGAATCATATCCTGAAATTTTGTGATAACTTCTGTCACTAGCTCCTCAACTCAGAAAAACAAACCATCTAGGAACACAGAATAGGAAATAGATAGACACATATCTGTTACACGATTTCTATTTATTATGTCTGACATGTGTCATATTTGAATTTTTGCAATGACTGATTGATATGAATATTTCTACAATACGATCACATGAACTGGATGATAGGGTTTGCAAAGCTGTTCTGTGAATATAAAAATTTGCAAAATATCTTTCATAAAATTATTGAAAGGGTATTAAGGGGTTCTGATTTGTAAATGAAAAACATATATTGTATTATGTACTGTAGGCTAAGGGGACATACATCTATTACATACATAATATTGTGTTTTAATTAAATCTCTACCATTATGATTCAGTTCCACAATCTGCTTCATAATACCTCTCCCCACTCTATGCTGCTGTGTATTCATGGTGGTTTGTGTTATTGATCAGCCAGCACCTTGCTGATAGTCAGAGAGAGATTTTAAAAAAGAGGCCACAGAGGCCAATATGATGGACCGTGATGCTTCTCATTGGTCCCTCTGATTAATTGAGATACAGACATTCTCTTTTAGACACAGACGAGATGATGAGAGTGATTCAGGCTGCACCGTGCGGGTTAAAGCACAGTCTGTGTGTTGCCTTAAAAAAATGTATTTAATAGACTTCGCACAAATATTCTTGGACACATGCCATTCTTGGGCAGTGAAGCTGAGAATTGACGTTCAGGCTTCATTCAGATGATGTTTCTCCAAGGAGGAACTAGAGTGTCAGAATGAATAGGAAGAGGAGGAGGTAGGAGGAGCGGGATTGATCACCAAGCTTTCGTAGTCCAGGAAATGAATTAATGACCTTGGGGAAAGTCATCCATCCCTATGACAGGCACTGGGAGTCAACCCGCACACAATAGGTAGCTTACATCGTATTCTCTGTCAGAGATGATGTCTTCCAGTTGTTCTCATTTAAGTGAACATTGATAGAAAAAACTGTACAGAGTTAAAAACAATTGACCTTTTTACATATTTGTAGTTTTCTTTAAATCTCATGTCTTCTGGGGTGTTGCGATAGCCATTAGAAAAAAGAATGGACAAGAGGGTTTCTACTTGTTATGTACCACTTGATTTAATTGTTTCGCAATGGCTGAGTGGTATAGTGTTCTTTGAAATGAATACACGTTGAAGACATTTATGTCTATTTATTGCGTCTGAGAGCCTACTAGGCACAGAGCCCATTGTCTATATGAGCCTGCGACCAGTCAATCACTGCTGGGTCAGCAAGGGTCCCAGCTGTCAGGATGACGTAGGGCACTAAACAAGCGACCATATAAACTGACAAGCATGCTGGTACATGAAGTCCTTGGATAACGAGAAAGCGAAATTAACTGAAATAAAAATGTGAACATATTAGTGTTCCCAGAGGAGTCCAACGTGTCTATTCTCGTGTAAAGCCTCTGTCAACCATTCACAGTTTTACATGTTGTAATTAGAAAGCTTAATAAACAGCTGATGCATGATATGAACTACAAATCCCAACGTTATTTCCGTGGAAAAACAAGTCCCCCCTCATGATATGCTGCGTTCGCGTTACCTTCTCCTTGTTGGGTTTTGTCAAGCAGCTGTAAAGTTGTGTTGAAGTGTTGGCGTATGTTTCTCTGTCGGTGAAAATACCTCCAAGGACGACCGAGACATATTTATTAACTTATTTATGATTTCATACGTTCAAAAAAATGAAATAGCACACACCTACTTTGATTGACAGACGTTTACAGAGGGTGTTAAGCCTTGCTCTGTAATGCCATCAAGTAGTTAAGGTATCGATTCAATTGCTTTACGCAATGCTTAATTGAATATTATGACACATGACTTCATATCATCGATGGATGTGAGAAAATGACACACTGTAACTGCTCTTTTCCTACTTTATTTCAGCTTCGAACACGTAATCGCGCAAATTTCCGACCGTTCCTGAACGCAGCGGCTGTAGCAGCAGCAGCAGCCATCCGCATCAAACAGATTTCATTCACTGAGTGGCCGCTCCGTAGAGAACAACAGGCTACCTCCCTCTGTCCTGTGTGAGTATTACACCCCTCTGAACCTCCAGCCTTTTCCTACAAGTTATGTCAAATAATATTTGTTGCCGTTGTTAGTCGTTGCCGATACTTACTGTCGCTTAATTTGTGAAATGTCTCGAGAACGAACCGCTTTTATTTATTTATTTCTAAAGTCATGTCTGAGACGTTTGTGGACAGCGTGGTCTTTTGTTCTCTTGGTATAATTTTTCGTTTTGACAAAGGAGAGCTGGTTTCACTGTAGCATTATCCGCCGCGACAGTGTGACACCGGTGTGTTTTGCTTTTCCGTGCAGGTTATATTTCCGTTATGTTTTCTTTTGACTTGTAATTAAGCGACATTGAGTGAGCTGTTTAATCCAGCCTGGACATATCTAGAATACCAGGAGTGAACATAACTACATTTTAGTAAAGAAATGGTCATTTTTTTTTTAGAGTTGCTAGTTAGAGTTTAAACTTTCTAGTAGTTTAATTCATGTTTCCCTTTTTTCCCCCCCTTAGGATGCTGCACAGCTATGGGACAAAGGAAACCTTATGAATGAAGGTTGCTATCTAACAAAGAGCCATAAAATCTACTTGGGATCCTAAAATGATGCAGCACTGTATAGACAGCACCTCTTTGTTTTAAGTTACCTGTTTTTAAGACATCTATTCTGTATTCAGTCAAGAACTCAGTGGCTTGTAATCGTAAGCTGATGAGTGTTGAGCTTTTAGAGATGCTTTTTTCCGACAGAGCCAAGCTTCTGTTTATATGTGGAATAAAACATGCACATAGCTAGAGGGGTCCGCCCTGGTCCTACTTGGAGGGCAGAGTCTTTTCTCCACTCAGTCCTCATGTGGCACTAGTTTCTGACAGACCCCCTCAGCGCAGTCAGGAGTCGACAGGAGCTGCATCCTCAGCTTCACCATGACCTCCTCGGACAACTACGAAACGGGGAGTGACCTGTCTGAGTCTCTGGAGATCTGTGAACTCCAGGACCAGTACACGGATCCGGAAAACGGCTTCAAGTCCAAAAGCTTACCCATCCTCAACGGACCCTGTCAGCCGGATCAAAAGACTGCAGAACTTAGGCTCGTCAACACTGTCCACAGCAGCGTGGCCATGCAGGAGAGCAGTGAGCTCCAGCCAAAAACCCCAGACTTCAGCCAGGCAGAGTCCCCCTCCTCCAGGACGGACTTCTCTCCGTCTGCCTCAAGCATAGTGGGGCTCAGCAGCTCGTTGCCTGTGGAGGGCCACAGAGCGTCTGGCTCTGGTGGCAAGAAACTGGGTTTCTCTCTCACCCGCCTTATCCGCATCCCAGCCAGAAAGTATGTGCGGGTTATCCTTAGTGACTCCCGCTGCTTTCTATTCTGCATGTGCTACCTGACTTTCATCCAGTCACTGATGGTTTCGGGCTACCTGAGCAGCGTCATCACCACCATTGAGAAGCGTTACAGCCTGCGCAGCTCTGAGTCTGGCCTTCTGGTCAGCTGCTTTGACATCGGCAGCCTGCTGGTGGTGGTCTTCATTTCGTACTTCGGCGGGAGAGGTCAGAGGCCGCGGTGGCTGGCCGTCGGTGGCGTGGTCATCGCTGTAGGGGCAGCGTTGTTTTCCCTACCACACTTCATCTCACCCCCGTACCAGATCCAGGAGATGAACTCATCAGCGGGCCACGAAGGTCTCTGTCAAAGCGGTAACAGCAGCGGCCGAGATCTTGATGTAGCATCTTGCCCTCGAGATCAGGAGGGGAACGAGCACAACCTGTATGTGACGCTGTTCATCTGCGCCCAGATACTTGTGGGCATGGGGTCTACGCCAATCTACACCCTGGGGCCCACATACCTGGATGACAATGTGAAGAAAGAAAATGCATCTCTCTACCTGGGTAAGGCAATCTGTTTGCACTCACAGTTAAACAGAAGGCTAGGTAAAGGCAGGTGTAAACACTGTATTCAGATAGTAATTGTGTTTTTGTCCCCCTTATGACAGACATTTACAAAAATTGAAGGAATTATGTTACATCCTGAAAACAGTAGGGTGATTTAAAACAGTCCAGACACGCTGAATTAATTTGAATAAACACAGAAGACTGGCTGCTTAGCGTTGCACTAGTGTTTGACTGATACAGAGCTCTTGTGTTATTCTCTTAGTGGTGTCTAATGCAACGATGAACCCTTGCAGATTTGATTTAAATTAGAAATAGTGAACACTTTTGCACTTTATCAGAATTAGATGCATGTTTTGAGCCGGTTTGATCTTGCTGATGTTTTTCTAGAAGGGTATTTGCACAAGTGTATACCCCACGTAGTTCAACAATGCACTCATCCCATCCTGCTCTCTGTCCTTTTGGTTTAATCTTCACGGCATGCAACCTCTGCACTACATTGAAGTAAATACAGAGACTGCAAAGTCAACCGTGGGCCTGAAGCACATGTGAGGAGTTTGGGGGGGGGGGCAGAAGCAGAACTGGGTTGCCGATGATTAATGGTCCTGTACTGTGTGTGTGTGCAAGATAATACTGCTTTGTCCTTACATTTGAGTGTGTGTGTGTGTGTGTGCGTGTGCACAGAAGGCTGGCAGCAGTACTGAAACTTGCTCTCATGTAAAGCCAGAAAAGCAGGTGTCTGTTGTGTTTGAGCGGTACCAGATTTTCCGTTTTATTCTGTCATAAATCATTTAAACTTTTTCGGCACCGGTATCCTGTGATTAATGTGGTATGCCGGGGCTCTTCTGGCTTTAGTATGATCGACTGGACATGCATACCACAAACTCTACGTAGCTTGTAGAGGACTTCATGATTGCAGAAGTAATCCTGCCATCAGCATGTGGACTGAAGTTGGCGTATTGAGACATTGGGCACCCTTCAATATGGTGCAATGTCTTTCACAGGGGGGTCAAATCAGTGTCCCTGAAAAAAAAAAGAAAAGATAAGTATCCCACTGATCTTCTTGTAGGTGACAGCTGATGATTATTTGCATCATAAAAAAGTCTATTGAGTGGTTAACTCATTGTTTACAGTATGAAATTAGAAAAGAACACCAATCACTGTACCCGGGATTATCTTCACCTCGCCCTCTCTCTCTTTGTCCATATACGTTTATTTGAACAGCAATGCACTATTTTGGACAATAAACAAAACGAAACAGAGAGATGCTGACACCTGCCCTTGACCACACCATTACATAACCTATGGAGCATATTAGCTGCTTAGTCCTTTTGCTCTGAGCTCTGCTGCTCCTGAGACCCAGTATTGATCGGATCCCTGCGTCACAGGGAGCCAATGCAGCATAGCTATTGAACCTGCAAAAACAAGGCAATAACAGCAGTGTTTCCCTAGGTTTTACAGCTTTGGGGGGTGTCGGGGGGGGGACACACACGCCGACTCAAACACTTGAAGGAATCTTGGTGTTCATGCGTTACTTTTAATGACAGCTGTCCTTTTTTATTGGAAAGGTATCCTTAAATGACTTCTTCCCCTGATTTCCGACTCTATCCCTATCCTACCTCTACAATAAAGGCACAAAAAGCCCCCCAAAATATTTTTTACTTGACCTTCAAGGGGGGCAGGCCTCCCCCCTAATATAATGGTAGGGGAAACACCCAACAGCCTTTAAAAAAAAAAAAGACTTGCTGGGCCCTCACCGTGGAAAAGAACTCACAACCATCACCAGTGCTGTAAAGGCTCATTGAGTCATCACAGTCAAGACATCCACTTGTCCCGATATCCATCAGAAACAGTGTTTACCAGCCTGACCTTGATGGCTACTTTCAGAGGATTATCAGTTTCGTTCCCGCAGAGCACAGTTCGGGAAAACGGGGGACATGTTCAGACATGTCGGAGGCAGCAGATAAGTAGGAGAGTAAAGTCCTTGATTTACATTTCAGATAACCATGGTAACTGCACTTGATCTTTATTATCTACACGTTGGGGGACATTTTATCCGCGACATTCTCTGATGCAAGTTTAGGTACATGGTGCAAGAAACACATCTAAGTGAAGAAGTTGAGGTGGTGCTGGCCTTTTATGTTAGTTTAAAGGGATTCAGTCCTCAGGCATCGGGATTTGTTATTATTCAAGCAAGTGTAAGAATTAACATGTTTATTTTCATCTCATCCATAACCTCCTTCTTCTCTACAAGGACACAGATTGAGGCTGTCACTGCACCCATCCACTTAGAAATCGTCAAAGCCATTTCCATCTATTCAAAAAATAATTTGCTGAATATAGGCTACCTATTGCTCGAGGAGGTTTTCCCCCTACTCTTACCTTGAGGTGCCCCTCCCCCCCATGAATCCATTAATGTAAACCCCATTTCAATTCAAATTGTCTCAGAAGGGAGGAGCTGCTATTGTTGGACAATGCAGTTTACACTGGGGTACTTCTGGTGCCCTTGGAGGGAGAGAAAGTGTGTGTGTATCTTTTTGTCAGGATGTTATGTTTGTGTATGCATGCATACACACAGTGGGCCATTCCCTCTGACCTGTCGCCCCATTTCCCAACTCTGGCCTCATGTCTCTATGGTAATGTAATGACAATGGCATCTAAAGTTTTACTCCCCTTGGGGTAAGGAAATTGTTAAATTAGGGTATACCCAATTTGGCTTTCAGGGTCTTTTTGAAGGTTTTTGTGGATTTATATAACTTCTCCAGCGAGTTTTAAGACAAGAGCTGGCCGCTCCAGAGCCCAAGTATCCAATGTGTGCACATTTCTCTCTAATTTTTCAGTCTTCCCACTCTTCCTGCTCTGACAGATTTACAGCATACCATTCTTGTCGTCTCTATGGTGAACGTTTGTCTGTGTCCTTCTCTGAAAGGCCTCTCCATCATATAAGGAGGTGGCTCATTGTCGCGTCAAGTAACAATTAAGTGAAGGTTGACCTTTTTTGAAACTCTGCTAAGCTTCTATCCTTTTTGTTGTCTCTGCTGGTTTCAAATGTCTCTAATATCTAGCAATCTGTAACCATCTCAGTCTGTTTTGGCAGCACAATGACCCACAGATCAAAATGATCAATAATTAGCATTCTCTTCGTTGAGAATTGTTGATCCATTCAGAGCTGTGGGCTATTGACCTCTGTTTTATTTTTCGCTGATGGCCTCTGTGATTTACAGGCTAATGATGTTGAGAAGCTGTTATTGATGTGGGACGAATGTGGAGGTCAGCTCTGATTAGATCGCTGTCTGCATGTCAACATCAGCTTCCAAAAAATCCTGTGTTTTGCAAAAATACCTACATGGCATCTCTACTGCTATTATAATGACCTTTTTTTATTGTTCTGCTGGTATCAACAATACATCAGTCGGGGTCTATCATGTAGTAAAGGTTCATTGATTCCTCCTGGCCTTCAGTCTCTTTCCTCTGCTTGAACCAGCTTTAAGTTCAAATGATTTGAAAACGAACATACTGCTCTGGTCTGTGTTATTAGTACCCAGGCATTATTAATATTTTGTTAAGGAATATAATACAGTTTCAGCTTGACACAGCGGCACTGTAGAGGACTGTTTATTTACCAGAGAGGAGGAATAGAGGAGGTGCTCAGTTCAGAAAGAGAGGAGCTTTAGCACCCGCCGGGACAGATTGAACACTGGTCTTTTCTCCACACGCACATGCACACACACACACACACACACGCGCACACGCACACGCACATGCACACACACACATTCATATGCTCGCATAAGCACAAGGGTGTGCTCTCTGCTCTCTCCCCTTGACAAATTTAGAAAGAACAGTTGCTCTCAGTCTCTCGCCTAAATCGTGTTGGAAAAACACAGAAGTGAACAGATAGTTCACAGTCCTCCCTCACTCCGTTTTTTATTTGTTGTGACCCGAGCAGCCGAGGCACGTCCTTTTCTATGCACGCACAGTCCATTTTTTTTTTTTTTAATAATGTGTGTCCTCCTGCTCTGAAAGCAAATGTAGATTGTGCACACACAGACACAAGCGCGCAAGGCCCCAGAGAACCCGCTCTCTATGCACGACGTCCAAGCTGCTAGATCATATTCCCCTCCCCCCCACCCCCATCAGAGTCTGGCAAACGTATAGAAAGAAGACCTGTGCTGTTTCATCACTGTCCCCTTGGCTTGTTCTCAAGGAGGTTTTAGATATCACGGCCCACTTTCCATTTTCCTGTTGGCCACATAGACCCTCAGGGTTACTCAACAGCAGGTGACCTTTTTAGCAGTGGACTGCTCGGCTGCCAGCTCTTACTACTACTATTACTACTATGACTCCCCCCTGTAAATAGCTGACCCCTCTGAGGATGTTCTTGTGCCACTAATGACTCAAAACTCATTAGTTTTACAAAGCTGCACTCCTTCTAGAAAATGATCTCTTCCTTCACTATATGTAGGAAGAGAAAGCTTGGTGGGATATGGTAAAATCATCAGGCAAACATGTGTTTCCTAAGGCAGGGGTCTCAACCACAGCAACTGTAGTTTAGTCATTGTTTTGACCTCAGTGGCCGTGGTCTGTGGCCATTTTTCAGAGTTGGGGCTTAGTTGTTTTGACAGTGTGGGAAGGTTCCTGGGGAAATGCCACAAGATGTTTTTGTGATACAGGAATGCTGAGAAATCTTTTGTTTCCAGCTATGTTGGGAAGGAATGGATATTCTCTTTGTCCTTGCATGCTCTTTGGTCCACCAAATCCTCCTTGATCCCTGGCTCTTGTTTGTTTAGGACACAATTAAATAATGGCCTGAGATGGCTTTGAAGTTATTTAATTGTCCCGACATATAAATAATGTGGGGGGGGGGGTTCTTACTCTTATGTGTTTTGTATATTTAAACATTAATATTTCTGATATTCTGACTGAGTGGGTCCGGTTGCATATTTGGCTACAAACAATAAATCCTAATTATTGAACATCTTAAAGGTTTGCATGATTAC